TAGCAATTAACATAATATAATTCCGCAGATTTGCTGTCACCCCACCTCCAGAACACCTTTACCCACTTTGCATCCACTGCTGAGATTCCTAAGGAATCCATAGAGGCACTTATAGTTTCTATTTCCAAGCTTAATGAATCAACTGATAGGCCCATCTCCCTCCTAATCACAGACATAAAAATCTATGCCAAAATTCTAACAACCTGCTGGTCAAAAAACATACTCCTCCTAGTTAACAAAGGCCAAGTAGGTTTTGTAGCTGGTAGACACGCCTCAGATAGAACGAGGAGATATGTGGATTTTATACAGTCTGGTTGCATAGCTTGTCTAATGTCCGACTTGTGATTCCAAAATAGTTCCTTAACCTATAGCAAGGGCATTTTTCAACTTTAGTCAATGCTGCATGGTTTGTTTTTATATACAGATGCTCCATTGGCAGTTTTTCGGTAAAGGTGAACTAATCCTTTAAGCAGAGGCCACACCATTTCTCCAGCTTGAGCATAGTTTGAGTCTTCTCTGAGATGAGCACGATTGGGTTTGTTAAGCTTGTAAGCAGGTTGCCTACTGTATGTGTAATTAGCATCCAGCTGCCCAGGTCAGGGGGAAGGGCTAATGTTGTTGCCGCCTTTTCCCTAGTAGGTTCGCAAGCTTTCACTGGGGTCCAGCTCTTAGAGCACCGCAAAGTTTGAACTTTCTTCTAAGAGACTTCACCTGTGCAAGTAACCTGGGGCAGCCACAGTTAGGTTCAATTAGGAACGGAATGTTATTACATGCTATAGATGTTGTCAGGCATACTACTAAATAACTTGAGACCACAGGGGTATGTGTAACATTGCTACAGCAAAGGTTCAAGAGGAACAGCAACCAGTCGTTGGCGTGGTACCTGGACGGTGACAGGTTCTATGCTAGTGAGGGGGTCGGTGCTTGGACGCCCTTCCTGCCTATCTCCATCGGTCACCGGGAGTGGCCTAGAATTACGGAAATCTAGGCCTGGTCACTTGGTACAGAAAGTGAAGAGTTAAGTGAGAGCACGTATGAGGTCTGCGCTATGTAATCGGCGGGACACCATTCTGTTACTGGTAGTGAGGTAACAGAAGTACGCTAACTAGTGAAGTGGGCAGAGACTCACACCTATCTCTCTGAATGCAACACATATAACAGGGCAAGTGTAGGACATGGGATGAACAAATTTAAGGAGGAACTCTGAATCTCAGGTACTGGTAGGGGCATATCTACCGCGAGCCAAACAAGGCATTTGCCTTTGATGAAATCTTTCAGAGAGGCAGCGCCGCCCACAGGCAGCACATGGGTGCGAGCAACAGGCAGCAGGGCCGCCACCTGGGGTGACAGCCAATACACAAATAGGGGGCCAGGGTGTCCCAATTGGCCGTGGGACCCAACCAGAGCCATGTTTAACATGGGGCAGCTGCTGTCAGAGCAGACTGGCTGCAGAGCAGGGTGGAGTGATGGGAGAATCCCCGTTGTGTGCAGGGAGTGGTCGGGGCCCACTGTAAGGCAGGCTCCGGTCAGGATCTGCAGTGTGTGTCAGGCTGTGCGGAGATTTGTGAGGCCAGGGGTTTCCAGAAGAGGGCTTGTGGAGGAGGAGGAAGAGTGGACAATGTCAGGGTGGAGAAGCCCCCCCCCACTGCTGCCACCGGAGATCCTGGTGGAGATGGGGACACAGGCTCAGCTACCGTTCCTGGCACCAGTTCCGGCACCATCTGGAGAAGTCACTGCTGGACAGGTGAGAGCTTGGAATACTGGTGCTTCCCAAGGTGTGTGAGAGCACACAATAAGTGACACTCTCCACTCCTGACACGCTGCCCCCCACCTGGACAAATTTAGATGGGGGGGGGTGCCCACTGGGTACTGGACACATGTCACTCATCACCTCCTCACAAGCTGGCCATACATGGGCTGAATTTCAGTTGATTCCTGCTGTATCTACCACAATTTGAGCCATAGATGGCCCTGTCAGCACCATCCAGCTCAGCAAGCTTCAACTGGAAAAACAAAGGAGCTGGGTGGAAAACTGTTGACTAAGCAGTGACTGCATCCTAATCAATCTCATATATATATATATATATACAGTATATATATATATATATATATATATATATACACACATACATACATACATACAGTCAAACATCACTAACCTGATCAATCGCTGTTTTTGGTAGAAATTATATTTCTACATGGCAAATAGTTTAATAGCAGGTTTAGTACAGTAATAGAAATCCAACAGTCCCAACAGTCATGACATGAATGCTGCTGATTCTGTGTAATTGAATCACTAATTGAAAGGGGCATGTTCAAAATAATAGCATAGGAAATGCCCTTGAAATGGGTGTTCCAACAAGACAACAACCCCAAACACACCAGTAAATGTGCAACATCTTGGTTCCAGACCAACAAGATTGATGTTATGGAGTGGCCAGCCCAATCCCCGGATCTTAATCCAATAGAAGACTTGTGGGGTGACATCAAAAATGCAGTTTCTGAGGCAAAACCAAGAAATAGAGAAGAACTGTGGAATGTAGTCCAATCATCCTGGGCTGGAATACCTGTTCACAGGTGCCAGAAGTTGGTTGACTCCATGCAACACAGATGTACAGCAGTTCTCAGAAACAGTGCTTATACAACTAAATATTAATTAAATGATTCAAAGGAAAGTAAAATCTTCAAACATTTTTCAGTTTATATAGTGAATGTTTGAGTTTGCAAAGAAGAATACAAACACTGCTATTTTTTTGAACAGTCTAATATTCACTTTTCTTCAATTTTTTTATAGGAACAACACAAATTTGATATATTTTTCTTCATGTTTTGATTTGGAATAGAATGTGTAGTGTTCCCAATGCATTTGTGTGTATGGAAATAAAAGCTATTAGAAGGATTTTGAGCTTTATTCACTTTTTTTCAACACACTGCTATTATTTTGAACACAACTGTATATACACAGTGAGGAACAGAAGTATTTGAACACCCTGCGATTTTGCAAGTTCTCCCACTTAGAAATCATGGAGGGGTCTGAAATTCACATTGTAGGTGCATTCCCACTCTGAGAGACAGAATTAAAAAAAAAAAAAAAAAAAAATTCAGGAAATCACATTGTATGATTTTTAAAGAGTTTATTTGTCTTGCACTGCTGAACATAAGTATTTGAACACCTGAGAAAAATCAGTGTTAATATTTGGTACGGAAGCCTTTGTTTGCAATTACAGAGGTCAAACGTTTCCTGTAGTTCTTGACCAGGGTTGCACACACTGCAACAGGGATTTTGGCCCACTCCTCCAAACAGATCTTTAGATCTGTCAGGTTTCGGGGCTGTCGCTGAGCAACACGGAGTTTCAGCTCCCTCCAAAGATGTTCTATTGGATTTAGGTCTGGAGACTGGCTAGGCCACTCCAGAACCTTGATATGCTTCTTACGGAGCCACTCCTTGGTTATCCTGGCTGTGTGCTTCGGGTCGTTGTCATGTTGGAAGACCCAGCCATGACCCATCTTCAATGCTCTGACTGAGGGAAGGAGGTTGTTGCTCAAAATCTCACAATAAATGCCCCCATTCATCCTCTCCTTAATACAGTGCAGTCGCCCTGTCCCCTTTGCAGAAAGGCACCCCCAAAGCATGATGTTACCACCCCCATGCTTCACAGTAGGGATGGTGTTCTTGGGATGCAACTTATCCTTCTTTTTCCTCCAAACACGACGAGTGAAGTTTAGACCAAAAAGTTCTACTTTGGTCTCATCTGACCACATGACTTTCTCCCATGCCTCCTCTGGATCATCCAGATGGTCATTGGCAAACTTCAGACGGGCCTGGACATGTGATGACTTGAGCAGGGGAACCTTCCGTGCAATGCATGATTTGAAACCATGACAGCGTAGTGTTCTACCGACAGTGACCTTTGAAAGTGTGATCCCAGCTCTCTTCATGTCATTGACCAGCCCCTCCCTTGTAGTTCTGGGCTGATTCCTCACCTTTCTTATCATCAGTGATACCCCACGCGATGAGATCTTGCATGGAGCCCCAGTCTGAGGGAGACTGACAGTCGTCTTTAGCCTCTTCCATTTTCTAACAATTGCTCCAACAGTTGATCTATTTTCACCAAGCTGCTTGGCAATTGCACCGTAGCCCTTTCCAGCCTTGTGGAGGTCCACAATTTTGTCTCTGGTGTCTTTTGACAGCTCTTTGGTCTTGCCCATGGTAGTAGTTGGCATCTGACTGACTGTGGGGTGGACAGGTGTCTTTAAAGAGCTCGGACAGGTGCTACTAAGTTAGATTAATGAGTGGAGTAGAGGTGGACTTTTTAAAGAGCCAGAATTCTTGCTGTTTCTCAGGTGTTCAAATACTTATGTTCAGCAGTACAAGACAAATAAATTCTTTAAAAATCATACAATGTGATTTCCTGATTTTTTTTTTTAAATTCTGTCTCTGAGTGGGAGTGCACTTACAATGTGAATTTCAGACCCCTCCATGATTTCTAAGTGGGAGAACTTAATATGGGGAGCCAGGAATGACCAGCCATACCATCTGTTTCTTCAAAATCAGGAAAATAAAATAGCTTACTTCAGCAAGGTAAATACAAACAATTCATTTTCTGGTATATTGCAAACAAGACTATGGCTCACTCTCGTATACCAATCCCACACCTGGGTCAAAGTTCCCATCTACAGGAATAGCCACAGGAGTTCAGCAAATAGAGACTAAGTTACCAGGAGGAAAGGTAAGATTTTAAGAGTCTATTAGACCACTGATGTCTCATTAAAGAGAACACACAATCTTCAGGCCTAAAATGATTTTTAAACAAAAAACACAAAAACAGCTGTGGTAGTGAAATGGCTAGGGCGACCACAATAAAAACAACAGGGAAAGATACCTGACATCCAGGACACATCCCCAGCATCACGTACAATCCACATACGTAACAAACTAAAAATTCCCTAAAAAAATAACCATTGACTTAGTAACTGTTTGTTTTGATTTTTTTTTCCAGAATGGTAGTTATGCTGTTCTTTCTCTCTACTACTTCTGATAAATTTGCTGCTCTTCTGTGTCACCGTTTCCACCTCTATTTTTGAATGTCGGTCTCTCTCAAAAGTACAAACTGTCACCCAGGTAAGAGACGTATGGGATTACTGTAGAAAAAAAAAAAAAAAAGTTTCAAGTCAAGGGACCAGTAAAGTCTATCATCCACCAGCTTTGGAAAACCCCTTCACTTTGAGATCCTTGTCCCAGCTCTCCTCTGTGGCCTTAATTAGGATTGTGTTTAGATCATCATCCTTCTTGAGGCAGAGGTGGTGGTGGTGTGGCAAAAAGGACCACCCATCATAGTAATGCTGCCAGTAATGGAGCCATACCGTAACCACAAGCCAAACGCTATTCAGCTATCAAGAAAGGAGGTGTCAGTATTACCTTCTGAACCCCTGTCAGTTGTACCTGCACCACTCTAAAAATGACCCACCACACATCTCTTTTTAAAAAGTGACACAGGTGTAAACAAGCTCCAAGGGTGGATTTCTTCTCACTTTAGAGAGATTTTCTCCTACTTCCTATTGCATCTCCAGGACAAGTTCTGAAGTACAATCTCCCGAACAGGACACAAAATAAGTAAATAATAATCTGAGGAGGATTTTAATTAGTGGTGCACCGAAATGAAAATTCTGGTGCCGAAATCGATATCGAAAATTTTAAATGCACGGGGCCGAAAATCGAACCAAAACGTATGTGGGGGGGGAGGCTCCAATTTTTTTCATATTTTGTGTGTGTATATATATATATATATATATATATATATATATATATATTTTTTTTTTTAATTTCTTTAACTCATGATTTTGTTGCTATTACATAGGGGACCAATAGTCCCCCATTTGATAGCATGTAAGTGAAAGGTCCTCTTTGTAGGGGGGAGGGGGCAGTGTGTGCAACGAGGGGGCAGGAGAGGAGCAGAGTATACAGAAAGGCTCCCTTACTGGCTGTCACTATGTCAGTGATGGTTTTTTAAATGTAATTACCAGCTTTTTTTTCTACACAATAGCTCAGAGAACAAGCTGTCACTTTCCCCGGAGCTAAAGGAAACTGAGGGACGGGATCACTGGGTGATGTCACTGGGTGACCCCGCCCCGTTGTTTCTTTTAGCCCTCCGAGAATGACAGCTCCATCTCTTTATTATAGTAAAGGGAAAAAAAAAAGCTGGTAATTACATTTAAAAAAAAACGGCACCAGTCACTGTATACACGGTTCCTCTCCTGCCTTTCTCCGCCCCCAACCTCACATCTGCAGTACACATAGTCCCTTGTATCGACTAAATTTTTCCTATCGGCAAAATGCTGATAGGGCCATTTTCGTTTAATATGTTTTGGTGGCCAAAATTTCGATGCATCCCTAATTTTAATCTTTTCCGACTCTATCAAAAACTGTAAAAAGTTTGGGCTATACTTACACTTTATTGGTGCAGTTATTATTTAAAGTGTAAACGGAGGCTGTCTTCTTTTATATCTGGATAGAGTGGTGAGGGGTTAGAACCAATGTCAGGTTTTTATTACTGCCTTAGTCCTCGTTAATGAGATTCACTCTTTTATTGTTCCAATCACCAATGTCTCCAGGAATAGGGTTGGGCTGTATGTTTGAGTCGGATGTAAGTTTGACTCGAACATGGGCCATTCCTGTGTTCAGTGAACACAAACGGTAGGGACGTTCAGCGGGCTATTCGCCCACAATGCACTGTGCCCTGACAGTGCATTGTGATTGGCCAAAGCAATGCACCTGACCACAAGCCAATCACAGCGCATGATGACGTCACAAGGGGGTGGGGGTGACCCTGCCCCCTTGTGACGTCATTGTGGTATTTAAGAACTTTCATCTTGGTGCAGCTGTCAGACGGCAGGAGCCAGCATCGAGAGCAGATAATTTTTTGTTCTTTTTTTTGGGTCGGCAGTGGCAGCGGGCATTGTGATTGATGTTGGATCTACTTTGAGAGGACATTTTTTTTGTTTTTAATAAAAGGACTTGTCAAAGACTGTGTACTATCATTTACACTACACTTTTTCTTTTTTGTGAATGGTAGCGGTACTGTATAGCGCGTACTCATTCACATGGGGGGGCAAGGATCTGGGGGCCCTCTTGTTAAAGGAGGCTTCCGGGTTCTGATAAGCTCCCTCCCGCAGACTCCCACAACCACTAGCCGCAGTTTTGGGGAAGAGGCCCTTGTCCCCAGATGAAAGAATGTTTTTTACTACTAAAACACTGCATGACTTCATAATATACCTCGTGGTATTTTAGTAGCTTAGTTAATTGTCCCTGTTCGGAGTTCGCGGTCGAACTTTTGGTAGGTTTGAAGGTTTGACTGCAAACCGAAAAGGGGGGTGTTCAGCCCATCACTATCCAGGAATGTAAGTGAGGGTAAATCCCAAATTTTGAGTTGCTACCAGAACAGGAATAGAAGGGAAATCTTCTCTTGGTGATACTTGCTCCCATGACAGCTGTCTAAGAGGGGATTTTCCTTAAATTGAAACAACATTCTTCCACTTCCTACTGTGTCTACAGGAAATAAAGACACAGATGGTTAAAAAAAAATGGCAATGGCCTTAACCCTTACTCTACTTACTCTATCCAAAATGATTTTTTTTTTACATAAAATACTGTATACTTTAAACATACACACCATTAAACAAGAAAAGGGTCCTCTGAATGATGCAATGTAACAACACATGTAACACCTCAATGCACGTTGATGTACTTCACGATGCATGTACTACATGTGTTTCACAAGGATGGCAACATCTTATATATAAAACAAAAAGGAAGACAAACCAAATAAAAAACAAAAAAGCCAACTAAGTCACCATTGTGCTTACATGGTGCTTGAACCTTTTTGATACACCTTGTCCATTTACACTTCCACCTTTTCTGCTTCAAAAAAAAAAAAAAAAAAAAAAAATCTCCCTCCTTATTCCAAAATTTCAGGGTAAAATCTGGAAATCTAGGAAACAACCAAAATTACAAAATTAGAATTATTTAGATCCAGAAAAATATGGGCCCTTTATGTGTAGATTTGCCTGCTTTCCAATCTCAAAATATATTTAACAAATGTACTCCCTGTTTTGCTCCTATGTATCCCATCCAGAACCCGGAAAAGGGAGGATGCCATGTTATTGTGATTGCATGTAGCAGGGGTCTCCGAACTTTCTAAACAAAAGAGCTAATTTACTGTCCTTCAAACTTTGGGGAGCCAGTGGGAGAAGAAAATGTCCTGGCATCAGTGGGAGTAAACTGTGCCCCATTGTTGGTATTAGAGGGAGTAATAGTGCTCCATCATTTGTGTCAGTGGTAAGAAAGGCATCCTATTGTTGGTGTTAGTGGGAGGAATAGTGCCGGATCGGTGGTGTCAATGGGAGGAATAATATCCCATTGTTGGTGTCAATGGGAAGAATAATGCCCCATCATTGGTGTCAGTGGGAGGAATAGTGATTGGTGTCAATGGGAGTATAGTGCCCCACCATTGGTGTCAATGGGGAGGTATAGTGCCCCACCATTGGTGTCAATGGGAGGTATAGTGCCCCATCATTGGTAACAATATGAAGAATAGTGCCCCATCATTGGTATCAATAGGAGGAATAGTGTCCTTTTGTCGGTGTCAGTGGCAGGAACTATACCCCACTGTTGCTGACAGTGGGAGGAATAATGTCCCAAGGGCCACATAAAAGCAAGAAAAGGGCAACATCGGGCCACCGTTTTTAGACCTCTGGTATATAGCATAGGTGATTAGAGACTTTCTGAACATATTTCTGGGATATGGTCTGAAATTTTTACTTTAAATTGACATTTTGTCTTACTACCATAAAAGCCACCACAACTATGAAGGGCGGGATACATAACTCCCTCTTTGTTGCAATTAACAAAATGTCTAGCAGCTTTCCATTCAATAAATCAATCCATGTGTATAACATGTTTGCAAGTTGGACAGGCCAAGCACTTACAGGTGCCCTTAGTTTGGCAGCATAATTGGTGATGTCTACAAAAGTAACTCCAAACTTATTGATCCCCTATCGAGCTTGGTTATATATTCGTATGTAATAGATAAGGGAAAGATGTCACAAGTTCACATATGGAATAATGGGATCAAAAGACTGGAGCACCACAATGAAATGTTGAAATTGAAAAAAAGAGGTTTTATTCTAAGTATGGAGTAAACTTAATAGCCAACACATTTTTGAGGCCACATTTTGCTCCCTTCATCAGATCTTAACCACTTCAAGTCCGGATATTTTCACCCCCTTATTTATTTTTTAAAATTTTTTATATTATTTGTTTGTTTTTTACATACTGTCACCCTAGCAGTACAGTGTCACCATAGTAAAACTGTACTACTTGTGGGGGGTGATGAAGATAATTTTTTTTTTTTTTTTTATACTGATTGCTTTTGCCCATAAAGGCTGTAAAAGCAATCATTTCTCCTGCATTCTTGCAGCCATTGAGAAATACTGTGAGAGCTGTGATTGGTCACAGCTTGTCACATGGTACAAGGCTGTTGTGAATAGCCTTGTACCATGTGACTTCTGTAATCATTCACAGATTTCACTAGAAGTAAGCAATGATGTCAGGAAGTGACATCGTGTTTACTACTGTTCATGTGATCACTGATTAGCCAATCAGGGATCACATGATCGTGACCTCACACAGAGGTCCGTACAGTGATCGGTGTTCCGCTGTGTCCTAAGGACACAGTGGGCACCGTATCGCGGTGCCGCACGCTCCCAGGGAGCACACACAGGCTGTAAATGGGGGCTCCGTTTATGAACAGCAACCCGCTCCTGAACTGCTCTCATCCGGCCGTTTATGTACATGGGCCAGATGGGAAGTGGTTAAAAGAACAGCGGTCGATAAAATGTGGGAAATTATATATTAAAGAGTCTAGGTCCGCTTCAGCAACTGGTACATATTGCAGTCCTTGATCTATGTTTAGATCCCAAGGTTTCTGTGTGAGGTCTTCAGTGTACAATAGCAGCCCACACATCTCTCAGATGCCCCACTAAGATAGTATCAGTATAGTTTTGAAAAAAAAACCAATCACATGTACCAAGTAACATCTACCAAAGGTTCAAGCACCAAAAAAATCTACCTCAAACAAGTTTAGATACTGTATAACTAGATTTTCTGGAACCAATGGGATCTTTTTTATGTTAGAGGATTTTTCTAAAACCCTAGTAATAAAAGGAATCAAATCTTCCTCTTATTTATTATTCTTTAATTGTAGATTATATTCTAAGTCTAAGAGCTTTCCTTCGATGATTCACATTTTTGGTCTTCATGCCCTCTGGCCTTAAACCTTGGTCAGAATATTTTTCTTCTTCCTCAAAAATAATATCCTTTTATTTTAATGTTCTTTTCTACTTTGAAGGTGTACGTGTTACAGAGTGATGTCGTCCTTGCCATGAATCCTGGTGCAGTTCCCATTCCTGTAACTACCACTCAACTACAACCACCACCGCCGCCACCAGTATATCCAGTCAAAAGTTAAAGCTTAACCATTTCATTAATTAAGAGCACCTGTCACCTACATATTTTATAGGATCAGCTTTCTATTGGCTTGTTTCTTAATTATGAATCAGTAGCTTAACAATATAAGTACATTTATGTTGTTTTTCTAAAAGTGATTACTTGTACCAAAAAGGTTTCCTTATGTGTTGGACTTATCCAGAGGTGGGACTTGACTTGACAAAATAGGTTGTCTGTTGCACCTCTATCAGTACAATTTGTCTGCTCTACATCTATGGTTAGTCCTTCATTTCATTGTGCAAGCTTTTTTTGTTGTATTGAATTTTTCCCCTTTGTCTCATATATGACTATTGTTTACTCAAAGCTATAGGTAGCACTTCTTGTAAGGCATAGCTAGGCCAATTTGGGGGCACATCCATATATATATATATATATTTTAATACCTATTTTTTGTATCACATCTTTGCTATCTTTATACAATAAATTCTTCTGACAATCATTTTAGTGTGCTGAATTATTTATGGTGTCATGGTTTTATTGATAGTTCTAGGACACCCTTTAAAATGGACCTTATTTGACTTATTCTTTGGGCAGACCAGTAGCGGGGGGGGGGGGGGGGGTGTCGATGACCAGGACGTAGGCAGGGACATCGCTGTGCCCCTGTACAGGCTGCCCATCTGCAGTACATTGTGGGTGGGCTGTCCAGAAGTAGTGCATACTATACAGAGGCCTTGATTCTGATTTGTGAATAGGATTTGCCTTCACCTTTCAGCAATCAATGGCTAGAGCCTCAGTGTTGGATAGAGAGCCTCACATTGGACTGGTGAGTGGAATGTGTGTGGTTGGAAAGGGGATTGGGGGGAGCAAGACTTATTCCGGATCAGAGCAGCCAGTGCAGTTCAACAAGCACCATAAGCAGCATGTGATTTCATTCGTTATCCGGTGCTCCAGGGCCAGTTTGGGAGAACCGTCAGCACTTGCATTTGCAAGAGGAGAGCCCACATGGAAGAAAAATATATTTTAAAAATATTCTTCCCAAATATATTGACATATATTTGAAATGCTACAATTTTGGCAATATTACATTTTTTTTTAAAAAAATGACACACACAAAACACACAGTATGTTGAAATGCATTTTTATTACAAAATATATGAAAATATTTTTAAAAATATACATTTCAAATATACTGTATGTCTTTAAAAATACAAATACACATTTTTGGAATGCAGTTACAAATAAAGTAATTTTAACAAATTTTTACATATATGTGTTAAAAATAAATCTAACATAAAAAAGTCATTTTAACATATATTTTGTAATAAAAATGCATTTCAACATGCAATGTATATATATATATTTATTGAAATATATTTTGAAATATATTGAATATGGTCAAAATTGTAGCATTTCAAATGTCAATATATTTGGGAAGAATATATTTAAAATAATTTCATATATTTTTCTTCCATATGGAAAGGTCAGCTGCAAAATACTGCAAATATATGCTCTTGATACAGGTATTCTGTAATTTTGGCCAATTTTACACTTATATATTAAAAATGTGGTTTTCCTTTAAGGATCCCACATAGTTAATTTTAATTTTTGAAGAAAGTTTTCCAGAGCAGGTACAATAGTATTCTTTATAATAAACATGGAAATATAACGTGCTCTTTGCACATACTGAACTCTCATACGTCAGTGTTTATTAGAAACAAAATCGTCCAAGGTCTAGTAGAACAGGTTACATCACGTGTCAAACACAAGGCCCGCTTTCCGAATCCAGCCCACCAGGTCATTTCATGTGGCCCTCACATCTCTCCTACAACTGCAACACCCTCTCTTCTCCACCTCTTCTGGTCTCAGTATTCGGCAGACTCCAGCCCTCGTCTGGACCTCCTCCAGGTCTTGCACTTTCTGCTTCCTACTCTACCCCAGCTTCTTCCCAGCAGCAGCACAAGGTGAGCTGGGTGTACTATGGTGTAAGGAGACCTTTGACGTTGGATGATGGGGGGGACTCTTGACATCTGATGTACGTGGATTGGGGTGATCTGGACATCTGATAATTAATATGAGAATCCTACGATTCTATGCCAGATGAAAAGGAGAGTCGCATGCCACTGGTATCACCCACAGGAATCGTTATTGGAGTCTGCTCAGACAGAACACCATGGCAGAGCCACATTCTGACTATGAAGTCTCCAAAAAAGTTTCTTGTGTTTGAAAAGAAGGGTCACACGCTGCTGGTATCAGACTTGCATCATCTGTTACAGGAGTGTGAGTGGGCTCAGAACCGGTCTCCACCTGCCCTTCACAGATTGCAGTGATATTAAAGGCTTTTTTATTCTAAATAGCGAACATGTTACAATGGTTTTGCACAGAACAGTCCCAATCCTCTTCTCTGGTCCCCTGCCGGAGCTCCTGGCCCCTCCTCCCTGCTGATTGCTATGGGGGCACCCATGTGTGCTCACTCCCGAGCCCCACTCTGTGTGTCCATTGACACACAAAGACGGGTCCTACCCAGCTCCCTTCCTGGCTGTGATTGACAGCAGTGTCTGAACTAATTAGAAGTGAGAGAGTTGGGAGAGATGTGGGAGAGCCACTGCTCCTGTGCATGCTGGATCAAGATAGAGTTCAGGTAAGTATTGTAGGGGTGGGGGGAGTACACAAAAGGTTTTTTACCTTCATGAATAGAATGCATGAAGGCAAAAATCCTGATATCTTTACGACCACTTCAAGTTATTACTAAACCCAGTAATAATCGAATGCAGAGACAATTATTTATGTGTAGACACATACAGAAGGCAAAAATGCAGGCAGGGCACAGGACAAAGCACTCGGGACAAAATGTATGTGAAATGGTTTGATACAGTAATGTTTTACTATGTGATTTTAGTGTATTTAGTGAATGTCACTTTTTTCATTTTCAAATTTCCCGCCGTTCCCCATACGTCTCAACCCTCGCAGGGGATGTAACCCAGAAGACAGATGCCGGCATCGGCCGGAGGACATTGCCGGGGACACTGCAGGAGGGACATTGCGGGAGAGCAGGTCAAGGTAAGTAAAGAACAGATCCCGGAGCAGAGCCACATGGTAAGCCTGAGTGTAGCTCGGGGTTACCGCATTTGGTACTGAAACTTTACCCCGAGCTACACTCGGGAATACCCCCAGGGAGGTTAACCTGTGTTCTGCAACTTTATCCTCAATCCGAATCTCTTTCCAACTCCGGCCTTCAGGCCCCTTTCTTCCAGACAGATGACTTGACTACACTACACATTTTATTTTGTGTTTTCCTCACTTTATTATCAACCACTTAATAACTGTTGTGTTACACTCTCTTCCTGTCCAGGCGTTTTTATGTCATTTTAAGACAGATATAGCTATCTTTTCGTGGTACTTAATCACCTCTATTTTTTTTTTACTGTATTAAATAATTATTATTTCTTCATAAATGTAGGCCAAAATGTATTCTGCTACAATTCTGTAGTAAAAATAACCCAAATCAGAGTACATTATTTACTCTGAATGCTATAGAGTCCACAAACTATGACTGAGATATATATATATATATATATATATATATATATCTCATAGCCTTCACGTGAGTGCGACGTCTCTCATCTGTGAAGTCTCCACAGGCTGACTCCCCATGCGATCACGGGGTGACACTGCAGCCTTTCCTGACCCACTGGCACCCCCTACAGACAACACAGGATCCCTGCTAGACTTCATGCAGTATACTGGCAGTTGCGCCCTCCTTTCTGGGCCGACTACTTCACATAAGCGGCCATAGTTCACAATTCTGCATTCCTCATCTGCACTCACACTCTCCTGAGTTGTTGCTTGACTGGGTTATACTCACAGCTGCTGGGCTGTGTCCAAACATTCTCACTATGTGGTGCAATCCCCCGTTTCCCCTCCAGAGCCTGTGAGCTTCTCCCCACATCACCTTCTGTCTTTAAATGGGCACTCTTGCCAACTTGGACAGCTCCACTGCTGACCTGAGAAACCCTCCGCTCCAACTCCATGGGCTCTTGGGAGGTTTCCCTGGGCAACTCTTCAGCACTTGTCTCTGTTACTAGGGAACATGGTATATGGATAGCTTTGGTAACCCCTAGTCCCCTGCTGGATTTCACCAGGCACATACAGAGTTCCCATGTCCTTTTTTAGTCATTAGTTCTGCTGTCAGTTGGGCTTCACCCTGTGCCTCTCCACTACTCCGGGTAGCACACTGCAGTGAGAACATGTCTATCTGTATTGCGGATCGCCATGCTGGACAACCTTCCGTTTTATTGGGATCAGTCCCAGAAACTGAAACAATCTTACCAGTTCCTGTAGCAGGTATCATAGCCTTCACTTGAGTGCGACGCCTTTCATCTGTGAAGTCTCCACCACAGGCTGACTCCCCCATGCGATCACAGGGTTGCACTGCAGCCTTTCCTGACCCACCGACACCCACTGCAGACAACACAGGATCCCTGCTACTAGGGGTAACAGCAGACTTGTACTCCACAGACAATCGGCTAGACTTCATGCAGGATACTGGCAGTTGTGCCCTCCTTTCTGGGCCGACCACTTCACATAAGCGGCCATAATTCACAATTCTGCATTCCTCATGTGCATTCACGCTCTCCTGAGCTGTTGCTTGACTGATGTTTTGGCCTCCCGGTGATACTTCTCCTTGTGCTATGGGTGACGAACTCCCCTTGCTGTAGTGTTTCTGTTTTTCCCATACACACCGGAATATTTCTCCAAGCAGGATCTCGGATTTGTACTGGTCGTAATTATCCCGGCTTGGACCCATCTGTTGGCAGGAAACCTGGAACCGATTCAGCAGCAAGGGTTGCAGAAACTTTGGCCACCAGTCTCTAGGCCATGCTCTCCATTTAGCAACTCTTTCAAACCCTGTTAGGAAGTCTTCAACCTCCTCAGTAGGCAGCATTGGCTGTATGAAGTTGAATGCCACTATCTTAACTTCCCGCTCTGCAGCCAGGGACAAGGGACACTGGACAACAGCCCGTG